CTGATCGTACTGTCAATCAGTCGTTTACAGTCGACGTCTTTACTCACGTCTGCCAACACTTCCAGTGGTTTCAGACCTTTGGGCGAAACGGCCGCACATTGTTTGGCCACTTCTGACAAGTTGTCGGCATTTCGGTCATTGATCACCACTTGAGCCCCATATCGGGCGAACTCTATGGCAATTCGGGCGCCGATACCACCGCCTGAACCGGTGATCAAAACTATTTTACTTTCAAAATTTTTAGATGTGGACATTATTAGTGTAATAGTATATGAAGTTTGCAAACTAAATGATTGATTGGAATAAAATAGTTTATAGCCAATTTATTTAAAACAATAAATTAATATACAATACATTGTTTAGTATATGTTTTCATGTACTTTCATTGCACTAAACATTTCATACTTTAAATTAACAATAGTTTTGGCCCAAAACATTTGAGCATTTAATAACGGTATATAACGTTCCGTATGTAACTCCGTATGGGCTCTGGTGTAATATGAGAAAATGTAACTTAAGTATTTCTCTTAATTTTGTTGATTTGCTATGAATTTAACTTGTGGGTAAATAATTTTGAACCATTTCCATAAGATCTACTGGGGCAATAATTTTGGAACTGAGTGTAGATAAATAAAAAGTAAAGATAAAGCGCACCAACCAAGGTCATATAATGCATAATATAATTATTTGAAAATTATTGAGTGAGGCTTATCTGCGGTATACTTGTTATGTGAAAATATAAAACATTCGTGCATTTGAAATAAATTATTATACAATATATTAATTAAATATTTAAGAGTTTTTATTATAAACATATCAATGAAATATTTTTAATTTCGCAAAACATTAATTTTGTTTTATAATTTATATTGCATTATATCTTGTAGTGAATTACATCATCGGGGCGTTGAGTGCCCCGCCGTCCGACACAAAGTTAATGCCCGTCACAAACGAGGCCTCGTCTGAGGCCAAGAAGAGTATGGCGTTCGCGATGTCTATGGACTCACCGACCCGTCCGACCGGGTATTTGCCGTCCATTTCACTATATCGGGCCTCCGATTGCTCTTTCGTTAGGCCCACGACTTGAAGGAAATTAGTCCTAACGTGACCCGGACTATACAATTGACACAATATATTAATTATTATTTAATAATCAATAAAACAAATGATTGATTACTTAATAACATTAACTCGAATTCCTTTTGGACCCAACTCTAGGGCCAGACATTTGGTGAGCATATCGAGTGCACACTTTGACATACAGTACAGAAACCCTCTGCCAAACTGTTGTATAAAAAACCATGATTAAATATCATATATATGTAATAAATTTGGTTTACAATTAGTTGATTAATTCAATATATAAATATAAACTTAATCACAAATCATTTACCGGTTTAAGTCCCGCAACACTCGATATATTAATTATATTGCCTTTAGTTTTCTCCAAGTGTTCGACCGATAGATGTGTTAAATAGACGACTGAACGCAGGTTTGTGTCCATCACTTCCTGATCGGGTATGCGTTGGGAGTAGTAGTCGTTTGGTTGGCCCGCAAACACTAGTAGAGACAGAGATGTCATTGCATTCAAACCACACATTCAAACATTCATATTATTTTTGATTCAAAACATTATTTTTTAATTGCAATTATAAATGAAAGTAAAATTAAATATAAAAATTCAGTGTTGAAAATAGTTTGTTATTTTCTTATGAGACATGCATTCAAAGTCATATAATCTGATAAATAATTGCAATTTAAAATACAATAAAAATGTTTTTAAAATTAATTTACAATAGCTAATTTAAAAAATAATTATGGGCATTTTAAGAAGTAGCTAAAGTTAGGAATATTTTGTAAAATAATGCATTGCACACTGTTTATTATGACTTATAATTTAGATAAAATAATATAAAACAAATGCATTATAATATAATGTACTTATTATGACCTTGGTTGGTGCGGCTTATCTATGTACTAGATGTTACATAAGTTGTAATATACCGTTATTTAACGTCCAAATGTTTTGGGCCAAAACTATAGTTGATTTTAAGTATAACTATAAATTTAGTGCAATTAAAGTGTATGAAAACAAGTGTATTGTACTAAACAATGAACTGAATATATTTATTGGTATATAAACTTCTCGAAGTAATTGATTTTGTTATAAACAATTTGATTTACTTTAATCAATTTTATTCACTTAACATAATGTCCACATCGAAAAATTTTGCGGATAAAGTAGTGCTGATCACCGGTTCGAGCGGTGGTATCGGCGCCCAAACAGCTGTCGAGTTCGCCCGATATGGGGCTCAAGTGGTGATCACCGGTCGTAATGCCAACAACTTGTCAGAAGTGGCCAAACAATGTGCGGCCGTTTCGCCCAAAGGCCTCAAACCACTGGAAGTGTTGGCAGACGTGAGTAAAGACGTGAACTGTAAACGACTGATTGACAGTACGATCAGTGCATTCAAACGGTTGGATATTTTGGTGAATAACGCGGGAAAAGGAGTTTTTAGTCCAATCATTGATAAGGATATTCTCGACAAATACCGGGATTTGATGGACACAAACCTGCGTTCAGTCGTGTATTTAACACATCTATCGGTCCAACACTTGGAGAAAACTAAAGGCAATATAATTAACATATCGAGTGTTGCGGGACTTAAACCGGTAAATGATATGCGATTGAATTTATATTAATAAAATTAATTTTATATTGAATTATACATAAAATATATAACTAATTATATGTATAATTATATAAATATAATAATGGTTATTTTGTATTTAATACAAAAACAGTCCGCCGGAGGTTTTCTCTACTGTATGTCAAAGTGTGCACTCGATATGTTTACTCAATGTCTGGCTCTAGAGTTGGGCCCAAAAGGAATTCGCGTTAATGTAATCAAGTAATCAATCATTACTTTTATTGATTTTTCAATAATGAATAATATATTGTGTCTATTATATAGTACATAGTATCCATAGACATCGCGAACGCCATACTCTTCTTGGCCTCAGACGAGGCCTCGTTTGTGACGGGAATCAACTTTGTGTCCGACGGCGGGGCTCTCAACGCCCCGATGATGTAATTCACCACAACATAAAATGCAATATAACTAATACAATACAAAATTAATGTTTTGCGAAATTAAAAATATTTCATTGATATGTTTATAATAAAAACTCTTAAACATATAATTAATATATTGTATAATAATTTATTTCAAATGCATACAGTATGAGTATTTTATATTTTCCCATAACAAATATACAGCAGATAAGCCTCAATAATTTTTATATCATAATATTATGCATTATAATAATTATAATATAATGCCCATATTATGCCCTTGGTTGGTGCGCTTTATCAACTTTCTATTTATCTATGTTACATACGGAACGTTATATACCGTTATTAACTGCTCAAATGTTTTGGGCCAAAACTATCGTTAATTTAAAGTATGAGATGTTTAGTGCAATTAAAGTGAATGAAAAATATATACTGAACAATGTGTTGTATATTAATTTATTGGTATAAATAAATTGGTTATAAATTATTTTATTCCAATCACTCATTTAGTTCGCAGACTTCATATAATATAACACTAATAATGTCCACATCTAAACATTTTGAAAGTAAAATAGTTTTGATCACCGGTTCAGGCGGTGGTATTGGCGCCCGAATTGCCATAGAGTTTGCCCGATATGGGGCTCAAGTGGTGATCAATGACCGAAATGCCGACAACTTGTCAGAAGTGGCCAAACAATGTGCGGCCGTTTCGCCCAAAGGCTTGAAACCACTGGAAGTGTTGGCAGACGTGAGTAAAGACGTGGACTGTAAACGACTGATTGACAGTACGATCAGTGCATTCAATCGGTTGGATATTTTGGTGAATAACGCGGGAAAATGTCTTCGATGTCCGATCAATGATACGGCTATTCTCGACAAATACAACGATATTATGGACACAAACCTGCGTTCAGTCGTCTATTTAACACATCTATCGGTCGATCACTTGGAGAAAACTAAAGGCAATATAATTAATATGTCGAGTATTGCTGGCCTTAAAACGGTTAGTGATCTGCAATTGAACTTATATTGCATTAAATCATACGTTAAACTAATTATAAATAATATTTAATTATGTGTACAAAACGTTTGTATTAAAACAGTTGTCCACAGGATTTCTATATTCTATGTCAAAGTGTGCACTCGATATGTTTACCAAATGTCTGGCCCTAGAGTTGGGCCCAAAAGGCATTCGCGTTAATGCTATCAAGTATTCAATTATTTGTTGTATTGTTTATTCAATAGTAATAATATATTGTGTGTAATGTGCAGTCCGGGCACAATCAGGACAAACATGCTTCAAACCCTGGGCTTGACGAAAGAGCAATCAGTGGCCCGATATAGCGAAATAGGCGGCAAATACCCGGTCGGACGGGTCGGTGAGCCCATAGACGTCGCGAACGCTATACTCTTCTTGGCCTCAGACGAGGCCTCGTTTGTGACGGGAATCAACTTTGTGTCCGACGGCGGGGCTCTCAACGCCCCCTTATAAGTGTCTATATCACCACTACATTCTTGTATTGATTGTTTTATATAAATCATATAACAAGACTTACGTAATTCACTACAAAACATATGATATATTTAAATAAATTTAACGTAATAATTGAAAAATTGCAATTTGTATAATAATATGTAAAGATATTATGAAATATTATCTAGAAATTAATTAAAATTTTCATTTCAATAGTTATTTCATTTATTCTTGAAATAAATTCACTTGAATTTTAAACTTTATTGCAAAAAAATAATCTCATTATTATGTTAAGCACAAACACTGCCGACAATTACACACAATATTCAGTACTAACTTATGATGCTGTTTGATTGATAACTTCTAGCTCATAATGAGATAGATTAATGGCCTAAGATTTTGCATTTAAAATGTTAAAATTTAATAATAAAGATATGCAAATAGACAAATTGTTATAGTGCAATGTATCAATACAAGATTGTGCAAGGCATAAAATAAAAAATTTATATGACCTTGGTTAGATCAGTTTACGTTTAAACAATCTAACGCAGAACACAGCAGTTACTTTCAATATAAGAAGTTATTAAAATTTAGTGCATTTTAAGTCTATGAAAGCTATAGAAAGTCTATTATAGCTATTATACTAAAGTTTAGTAACTAAACAATCCGCTGTAAATTTTAGTTGGTATATAAACTTCTTGAAGTATTTGATTGAGTTAGAAACTGTTTGATTTAAATCAATTGCATGTAAAATAATGTCCACATCGAAAAATTTCGCGGATAAAGTTGTGCTGATCACCGGTTCAAGTGGTGGTATCGGCGCCGTCACTGCTGTCGAGTTCGCCCGATATGGGGCTCAAGTGGTGATCACCGGTCGTAATGCCGACAACTTGTCAAAAGTGGCCAAACAATGTGCAGCCGTTTCGCCCAAAGGCCTGAAACCACTGGAAGTGTTGGCAGACGTGAGTAAAGACGTCGACTGTAAACGACTGATTGACAGTACGATCAGTGCATTCAAACGGTTGGATATTTTGGTAAATAACGCGGGGAAAGGAGTTTTTTCTTCGATCACTGATCCGTCTGTTCTCGACAAATACCGGGAAGTGATGGACACAAACCTGCGTTCAGTCGTCTATTTAACACATCTATCGGTCGAACACTTGGAGAAAACTAAAGGCAATATAATTAATATATCGAGTGTTGCGGGACTTAAACCGGTAAATGAT